GGAATGCGTTTCCATTTGCTGGTGGTTTCCCCAGCCTCTCGGCTGCCCCGAGGCTTTCCTGGCATCGCTCTGGCACACCCTGGGGCCGAGCGCTCTGCGGCATTTTCCCAGGCACTCCCTGGCTCGTGGAGCCCCATGCGGCGCCTCGCCGGGGCCACCCCTCCCATGGGGACACGTTTGAAGAGCCCCGCCGGGTGCTTGATGCTGTGAGAGGTTTGCTCCCCACACTCGTGGCAGACAAGGAGCCGCTCACCCAGCAGCTTTTTGGCTCCAGGAGGTCAAATACAATGTGGGGGTGTTTGCCAGGCTGGGGATGTGGCAATGGGAATGGAGCCCCAGGAGACCCAAAGCGAACCCTTATGGGAGCCTGGGGGTGCGGAGCAGGGTGAGCCGGGAGGAGGGAGCAGGCACAGGCACCCTCATCCCGGACGAGAGCAAAGGGAGGTCTCCAGAGCAGCCGGGAGCCTCCCCTCACCCAGGAGCTGCCTTTGCATGGTCCTATCGGCAGGATCAGGAATTTGAGCTATGTTGTTGTAGAGAGCCAGCGTGGCAGGAGCTCTGGCAGGCATCTGGGGGCTGTGGCCTTCGAGATGAAGAACACAGGAGAGAGGGGAGACGGCAAGAACTGCCAGCAGGTCTGATTTCTTGCGAAAGCAGCAGTTCCTTGCCCCATGGTAAAACCCTGTAAGGGCCAAGTGAAGAGTGGGGCCGGATCCCCCCAGCAACTTCTCACCTGCAATTTCGGCATTTCAGGAGGGGCCACACGGCCACGGCAAGAAAGTTCAGGTGCCTTTTGGCACAGGCAGAAGATTTCCCCTAAGGCAGTTGGGTGGGGAATGGAAACAGCCCGTGTTTTGCAGTGTTTTGCAGCACTGAGCTGGGTATTTGGGTATCCCTGTGTGCCCTTTGCCATCCTTCTGATGACTGATCCGGTGTGGGCACAGGGACAAGGTGCCAATGCGGTTCGGCAGCCCTGAGCACCAAGGAGCCCTCGGAGGAGCTTCGGGTATGTGCCCAGGGTATATCACCCTGCTGTCACCCTGCTCCGACTCCGTGGGGTGATGGGTGAAAGGCTTCAGTGCCAGATGTGAACACTGAAACCACCCGGTGACTTCCAGTGGCCTGACCTCGGGTTCTCCATAAAGGAAAAAATGGAGCAGGCGGCTGCCAGACCATCAGGAAAAACTCAGAGGCTCTTTAAAAGGAGCTTAAATGGGGCATTGCAGGAGGCAGCACTCGGCCGCCTGCCAGGGCTGGGACCCAGCCCTGCTTTTTATCTCCAGCTCCCTGCCTGCCAACAGCATCCCGGCCATCCCGGCTGTCCTGGTCCGGGGCCATGTCCCCGGGGAGGAGACCTCCCCCGCAAGCGCTGGGGCGCAGGATTCGCGGGAGTCGCGGGAGCCTGGGAGCCGGCAGCTGGGGCAGCCGCTCGCTCCGGCACGCTGGACGTAAATTAGACAGTTTCTCTTCAATTCCCAGCAAACAGGCAGTTTTCCGGCAGGGAAGAAACAAGCCATGCCTGGGAAGGAGAGGCTGCCCCCGACCTGCACCACTGCACACGTGAGCCCCTCCACATCCCTGGCTGGGCTGGAGTTTGTGATGGGTTTGTTTTAAATCCCCTCTTCCCAAAATACAGGGGACCTTCTGGGTACCCCACAAACACACACAGTCCCCTGTATGATGATGCAAAACCTGGGAAATATTCAGCTTTTCTTGTGGTATCCTCCAGTTTATCTGCTTTACCACTGACACTGGTCCTGCCTCTTAACCCAGAGCTCTGTCCCAGGAGGCGGCACGGTCTCCAGCCCCCCTGTTTCTGCAGCACCGGCTGGGGCAACCTCAGCTCCCCTTGGCACAGAGCACAGAACCACATTAGAAAGAAGACACATGTCCCCGTTTGTCCGGCCAGCCACCGCTGATCCCAAGCCTGGATGGTGCAAGACACCCGGAGCTTTGCGGAGTGGCTGCAATCCTTGCTCGGAGCAAGATAAAGCAGCACAACAACATTAATGGCAACTCGATCATCAGGTCTCTTGCAACGGGCAGCAGCTCCGGCTGCTGCTTTGATGTGTGGAAGCGGGGCAAGTGGGCAGGGTGGTTGCTCTGGGTCTCATCTCTGCAGCAATTAGCATTTGCAGCTGGGGAACACCTCTGGATTTTGCTAATCGAGGACAGCCTTGATCAACAGCGGCCAACCTTGCTTGAAAACAAACAGCCCAGCCCTAGCTCCTTAAATCGGAGGCAATGGTTTGCACACAAAGAACAACTTGTATCCTCTGACATTAAAGGCTTCAGTAAAGAAAATTTTCAGGTGGATAATCTGGCAAGCACAGCAACGAGAGTGAACAGAAGGAAGGCAGAGATCAGAACGGCTTCACTTAAAGGAGATGGAAGAAATTCACCTGTATTTCACCATCTGCCTCTCTTACCCCAAAGGTCTCCAAACTCACTGGTGTCTTTCCAAGGAGCCACCGTGTGCCCAGAGGGTCCTGGGCCAGTGTCAGGGATCCCTGAGGGCTCCTCCACCATCCCCACCCTCATGGGACAGCCGGGCCAGTCCTGCCCTCCTGTCCAGCAGCGCTGCAACCCTGCCTGCCCTCGGCATCCCGCCAGCCGTGGCAGTCCCTCTGCTTCCTCCTTCAGTGCATCCAGGCTGGTCCCTTTCCCCAGGGCGGGCTGTGGGAAGGAGCTCAGCTTTGCCCAGCGAGGGTCTCAGGTGGGAGCTGGGCCATTGGGTCAGACGTGCTGCAAAGTGGCAGTAGCTGCAGTGACCTGACACGGAGAACGGCCCCGGTCCGAAAGGACACAGTGACGGCATCCCCCCCCCGTGCCGCTTCCCTTGCAGCAGAGCCGGTGAGTGCCGGGGCTGCCGGTGCTTATGGAAAAAATAATAATCGCACCCTCTAAATAAAGCGAAACTGGTAACAGATCGAGCTGCATGTTCACTGTTAATGTTACTTATGAATGCATTTGCCATGAAATTATTGTTAATTATTCATCCCAGCTAATGCTCAGTTACCGTTGATGGCCTTAGAAATTGCAGTGCCGCCTGAGTCATGGCAGAACGCGACATATTACAGCAATAAACGAGATCATATTCTGCCATTTAATGTTATTGTTTAATCAATGGTTGGGGTGTTTTTCCTCTCCTTTATTCGGCTGTTTTCCTCAGGTGTTTTTCTCTGGCCGGGCAGGAAGAGCCGGCAGCCCACGGCAGGCTCTGCCTGCCCCGCCGGATCCCCACCCCCGCGCTTCCCCGCGGGGGCGGGGCCCGCCAGCCCCCCCCTGCCCAGCCGGATCCTCACCCCTGCGCTTCGCCGCGGTGGCTGCCGCACCAAACACGTGCTCTCGTCCCCACTCGGCTAATGAGTGCTATTAATGACGATCGCATCAGTCTGCAATGGCCCCAGCACCTGTGGTGCGGCTTATGCAGGGTGAGGGATACAGAGAGGGGTTCCCTGGGGGGCTCAGGGTGCCCGTCCTGGCTGACGCCTCTCCCCCGTCACCCCCACCACCTCTGAGCTGGTCTGAGTATCTGTGTCATGTTTAAATTGCTCCAGCCTGTCCCTGGCAGCCCACGGCCGCAAAGGGCTCTGCCACCTGCGGGACCCCAGGGACCTTCACGCCTCTGGGTGTGCCTGCCTGTGCCTAGCAGCCCATCTTAAATCAAGAATTTATTTTTTTTAAAACCTCAGATTACAGGAAGATAATTAAGCTGTCCTCCTTGCTCGCCTGCATCCAGTGCCCAGCAAATGCAGCAGGAGTTGTGCTGTTGACTTGCTGGGTGCAAGGACAAGCCCTTCCCTGGGCAGCGCAGACCTTGTAACACCCTGTGCATCCGAAAAACCACCCGCCCGGCTGTGGTGCTCCTGCCTCTGGCTGAAGCCATCGCTTGTGTCCAGCTCCAGGGGCTGCTCCAATTTTCAGTGGCTTTTCTCTGGCCAACCTGAGCCTCGTTTGTTCGCCACAGCTGGTCCAAATCCATCCTGGAGCTGCCCGTGGGAGCGATGCCTTTCCAGAGGTGAGGCAGCCCTTACTCCCCCCTTGGCAGTGTTGTGCCCCAGGAGCAGGAGAACAACCACTTTGGCCATCACTTCTGAGGGACAGAAATTTTTATTCATTTGAAGGGTACCCTGAGGACCAGCTAAGCCAGCCTGGCTGGGACGGGCTCAACCCCCGGGCACCACTGCTGGTTCACAGCTGCCTCGAAGCTGCTTGTCCCTGTTGGCTCTCAGGGACCACACATGTCCTACAGCACCCGGTTTTACCCCAGATTCAGCAGAACATGCCTTCCCCAGGATGGGAGAGGCAGAGAGCCCTCAGGCACAGCCCAAGTCCGAGGTGCTGCCACCCCCAGCGCTCCTGTGCTGGGGGGACAGAGGAGGACAGTGCAGGGCAGGTGAGTGGCTCCTGCTTTCCCCCGGGCAGCTCTAGGGAAGATCCTCCTCCTCCTCTGGCAGCGTGCTGGGGCTGGAGGCCGTGGGGGGGATGGAGGCTGTGGGGGGTTTGTAGTCCGCCCCATGGAAAACTTGCCCCCCCGTGCCCGCGGGCTCGATGTGGGAGAGCACGCAGTCCTGGCTGTGCTGACAGCTCTCCCCACTGCTGGCCAGGACGCACTCGCGGCATCGCTTGCCGATCAGGTAGGCGGCCTCGATGAGGCTCAGCACAACACAGACGCAGGTGGTGACCACCATGAAGAGGGTGAAGATGTTCTTCTCAGTGGGCCGGGAGATGAAGCAGTCCACCATGTTGGGGCAGGGGGGCAGCTCGCACTTCACCACCCGGGGCAGGGTGTAGTTCCTGTAGAAGCGGTAGAAGATGTAGAGGAAGACTATGTCCACGCCAGCCTTGAAGATGAGGCTGAGCAGGTAGGTCCACCAGAGCCCCCCCCGCTTCTTGCCGGGGTTGGGCGGCGGCCGCCCCCGCCGACAGCACGGTGCCTCTGCTCCTTGGCCTCCCGGTAGGCCACGTGCATGATGACCAGGAGGGAAGGACAGGTCACCAGGATGAGCTGCAGGGCCCAGAGGCGGATGTGGGAGACGGGGAAGAAGTGGTCGAAGCAGACGTTCCCGCAGCCTGGCTGCCGCGTGTTGCAGTCAAAGTCCTTGTGGTCGTCGCTCCAGACCCGCTCAGCTGCCACCACGTAGACCAGCAGGCGGAAGATGAAGACGAGGGAGAGCCAGATACGGCCGAAGGCTGTGGAGTACTTGTTGACCCCGCTGAGGAGCCCTTCGAACACCCCCCAGTTCATGGTCCCCCGATCCCGTTAGCTAGCCTGGGAGAAGAGAGAAGATACAGTGACACCAAAGAAGCAGCAAGAGGTTCCCATCGCAATACCTGCGTGTCCCGAAGCACTGAGGCGTGCTGCTGCCCGGGTGGCCTCAGGGACCATCTCTGGCCTTCGCTCGCACGCAGGGACACGCACCTATACATGCCCCAGCACAGACCTGGTCTGGGCGCCGTGTCTCCGCAGACCACCATCCCCCTCCGCGGTGTCACAGGGACCTGGCAAAGCTTCCTGGTTCTGCCGCGGCAGAAGCATCCTTCAGCCACCACCACCTACAGTCCCTGCCTGGCTCAGCCCTCTGCCGTCCTGCGCCGCCCACCCCATCTCTTGCCCCATTGCCCAGGTATCTGTTATTAATTTTCCTTACGTTGCCAGGCCTGGCCCAGGCAGATGACAAATAGGAGCAGCCAGGGCATGACTCACCCGGCAGCTCTGCGGCTCCACCGCCACGTCCTCTCCCATCGCTGGAATCTGCCGTCGCCTCTGCTCCCCAACTCAGGCAGCACGGGAGGAGCCCTGCGCCGACCCACACCGTGCCCACATGCCGGGGAGGCCACGCCAGGCACGGCACAGCACAGCGAGCGGACACCGCGGAGCAGAGGCAACGGATGAGCTGGGGGGGCTGCACAGCCCCAGGTGACGCCGAGGTGCTGACCCAGGGCTGGGCAGCCACAATAACCAATTTTCATCAGCTCAGACTGATCTCAGCCCGTACCAGCGCCAGGACCTCGAGCAGCTGGTTTGACCCTGGATTGCATTGCGCCAGATAAACACCCTGTGCAGCATGGGGCTGCAGCTGAGCAGGACTCCTGGGGCTGCGTTTGGCACTGACTCTCCTTAAACATTTTACCCATCAGTAAAATAAGAAGATTACCCCTTGCTGGCAGCGCTTTCGGGGGTGAACACATCCCACTGCTCTGCACGGCCCAGCCTGTGCAACACGCCTGCTCCTGGGGCTGGGGCAGCCATAGATGTTCCCCGGGCACATACCTCCTGCAAGAGCCAGCAGCTCCCGTCTTGCTGGGGTGATCCCTGGGGACACACACGCAAACCCCAGATTTCTCCTTCCCTGTGCACACTTCTGGCAGCAGCCCAGGATGCGCCCATCACCCCGGCATCAGGTCAGGCTCTGCGGTGTGTGGCAGATGCACCTTCCCCAGTCCCAGCAACGCCTTACCAGGGCCGGGGGCAGCAGCAGAGGAGTGTTTTCATGCCGCTTACCTGTGCAGCGTCCCTCTGCTGAGGCCGGCGCTGCTGCCAGTTGGTGCTTGCCTGCTGCAGGAGCGCATCGCCCGGTACGAGAGGCACTGGCCCCGCGTGAGTCATCTCCGGGCTCCTGGGAGCAAGGAGGAGATTCCCGGGGGAAGGGACAGGATTCGAGACAGATCCCCACGTGTCCCGTAGGCTGCCAGATTTCCTGGGGCGAAGGGCTGCCCTGCAGCATGTGGGGGCCCAATCCTGCTGCTGTGCAGGGAAGGGCTGCATCAGCTGCCCCACCGAGGGGAAGAATGCGTGCTCAGGGTCTCTGCCCCCAGAGGAATGCCAGGATGCCCAGCACGCCCTGGGGTCCCTCCATCCCCTTCCTGTGCCCGTCTTTGCTTGCTCAGACCTGCAGGGGTGACATGGCCGAAGCCCTGGGAACACCTGCCCGAGGCACCAGGAGCCGCTCACCGCTCAGCTGAACACCTCCCTTTATAATCCCTTTTTACTCAAACTTTGCACCATGGCAACAACTTAAGAAGAGCCTCTACTCCTCCCCACTTTCTGACGAGTGGGTGGCAGTTGATTATTTCACTGGGAATTAATTACCCACTTTTCCTGTGTTCCCCTCACCTGCAAGCTGGCACAAGCCTCTTCCCCATCACCTTCTCCCCCTCACCAGAGCCCGGGAGCCCTCCCAAGATCAGGCCCCAGCTCAGAGAACCCCCTCTTTGAGGCCTGACCCCCGGCTCGCAGCTCTGGGGTGCAGCAGGGAGCACGGAGCAAGCGTGGGGGTCAGATGGGTGGGGGTCCAAGGAGCGGGTGCTGCTGCGTGGGGTGCGAGAGTTCAGGTATGGCTGGAGTCATTTGAGGAGCAAACACACGTTTCATTTGCAATTCCGCTGGGTTTTAAAAAAAAATGTAGAGAAACAAATCTAAACAGCTGTAAAGTAAATTACTACTGTTTGCGGATGGCTCCAGGGAAGAGTTCTGCAGTTTGAAATCAAACAAGCCCATTTTTATTTTTTTTAACATGCCTGTGCGGTGGCTGTGTGGGAAGGGGGCAGGCAGGGAGGGCACGGAGCAGCACCCATCCCCGCGGTGGGGGGGGGGAGCGCTCTGCCCCAGGCACCCCCAGGCTTGCAGGTGTCTGAAGGGGCTCTCATAGCTTGCTACTTTCTGGGTTAAAATCCCCTCTTTTGGGGCGCTGACAGATGGGGTGGGCAGTTTCTGCCGGTGTTGGGCTCCAGGCAGAACACACCTCCACCCCTCCACAGCACCCACGGGCCTCCTGGGCACGGCCACCGTGACCCCCCCTCGTCCCCCTGCCCTGCTTTGACAGCAGGACAAGAAGGTGAGCAGCCACGCAGCCTTCCTCCACGTCCTACTGGTCAGGACTGTCCGGCCGAGTCAAAGTGGAGATCAACCCCCGTCTGCCTGGCAAATACCCGGTGGAGGCACAAAACAGATAAGCAGGGAGAGAGAAAAACACAGAGTGAGGTGAAGCAAGAGGCAGGAGCCGCTCTGCTGCCATCTGTCCCTCCCGAGCTGCTGCCAGGGTGGACACCAGCCAGCGAGAGCCACGGCAGGCAGCAGTGCATCTGCTCTTGGTGGTGCAGCCTCTGCCCTTGGGCTGGCAGGCACCGAGCTCCCGCAGCCAGAGCTGCCGTCCCACTGCTTAAATTTGCCAGAGATTTCAGTTTGCCAGAGGCAGAAGGGCGGTGCTGAAGGCTGCACCCTCCACCAACCGAAACCAGCCAGCCTGCGCGAGTCCATGGCGCTGGGGATGTGGAGGTGTATTAATGGCAGCACTTTATCTTCCAGGAACAAGCCCCATTAGTACATTTTCACTACAACATGAAATATTAATAACACTTTGCATTTATATAGCGTCATTCATCCAGGAGTCACCAGCCAAGCTCCTGACATGAATCAAACACCACAGCCAGCTCAGGAGGAGGCAGATAAATAGGATTATACCCATTTTCCTGCTGCACATACTGAGGCACAGGGTTTCTTCCAGGGCACCAGTGCTTTGTGCCGATGCCTGTCATGGGTGAGACCACCAGCGCTCTTCTGCCTGCCGTCCGAGAATGTGGCTGCTCTAAAGCCCACGGGGCCATCTGCTCTGCGTGGGACATCTCTGTCCAGCCCACCTGCTTTGAGGCGAGTTTTGCTATCGTCAGACAGAAGTTGCTGTAGACAAGCAAAACGCTTCCTTGGGCCACTGGCATGTTGCTTTTTCCTTGAAGGTTTTGGAACTGCAAGAAAAGTTTTTCCACTTTGTAAAATAATGATGATGATGATGATAATAATAATAATAGCAGCAACAACAACAATAATAATAATATTCAGAGTTTTTTTGGTCCTTTCCTTGACAGATTTTGCAGACGTGAAGCACAGCAAACCTTGTGCCTGTTACTTCACCCCCTCAGCATAGCTGGAGGCTGCTCCGCTCCCCAGGAAGCCGAGGGCATTGCTGGGTGATATTTCGGAGCATCTCCCGTCCCTCTGCCAGCAGCTCCTGCAGGTTTAGCTGCCCGACACCACACAGGCGATGCATTCCCACTTTCTCCAGCCCATCTCCAGGATCGGGTGCCTTTGCTGAGGATGCCAGCAGCCAGGCTGGGGCATGCTGGGTGGTCAGCACGCGTTTGGGGGTTATTGGCTTGGATTAAAAATAATAGTCAAGGAAGGAAATGTGTTTTACATTTGTGCTGTGAAGAGTGAGCTGTCTGGGTCCTCTCTTTGGAGAAGGACGCCACGGCTGCTCTCCAGGACCATCTGCTGAGCTTCACCAGCTCCAGGGACTCGCAGGGTCCCAGCGAACCCCGCTCTCAGGCACCACAATGACCAGGCAGGTCCCGAGGTCTCTGCTTCACTTTTAATCAGGTGAAACCACCAGTAACAGCTGGGTTCTCTGCTGAAAAGCTTGATTTAAAAAAAAAAAAAAAATCCAACTGGGGAAGTTTTGGGGGACATAGCCCAAACACACATGGCCGGCAGCTGCTGCCAAGCGGCACTGGCTGGTGCTGAGCTGCTGCCTCCTCCGGCTGCTGCAACGTTACCGATGTGCTGATGGTGCAGGCAGGGGAGTCGTTCGGTGCGGTTAGGAAACCTGTCAGCCCACAGACAGCCAGGCCCTGACACAACCCGAGGGCTCCTGCAGCATGAAAGAGCAAGCAGAAAACCAGTGGGGAAAGGGCTATTTTCATCTTATTAAAGTGCCTTATGTTGAAACCCTCCTTCAGGTCGGTAGCACAAGATGATTGCAAAGGCTTTTACACACTAACTCAGCAG